CCACTTGTTATTCATCCTTTTCATATCTGCTTCTATTTCCCGACGTAATGTGTTCTTTGGCCTTCCTGTCTACCGTTTCCCTTCAGGATTCCATGTTAGGGCTTGCCTCGTGATGCAGCTTGATGATTTGCGTAATGTATGTCCTATCCACCAACTGCATCGTCTTTTCCTAATTTCTTATTGAGCTGGAGGCTGGTTGGTTCTCTCCCACAGAGGGCTGTTGCTGATGGTATCCGGCCAATGAATGTTGAGTATCTTGCGTAGACAACTATTTATAAGTACTTGTACCATTTTGATGATGGTTTTAGTAGTTCTCCAAGTTTCAGCTCCGTTCGTACTAAACATTCTGACTTTGAAATTGGCTGACAGTAACTGTCATTTCTATATGTCCTTCAACTATAGAAATGTTGCCCCAGCTTTGATAATCTATGCCTTCACATCTTCATGAGATTTTTTTAACTTCTCACTCCATACTGTCGAAGAAGGTTTCATCAGATTCTCCTATCTGCACTAACGAATGTCTTCACATGGTGAAGGAATCTGATGTATGGTGACGAGCTCGATTAAATTTATTACTCAGTGATGATCCGTATGGTCGCGACTCTTTCTGTGCACGATTGGTTCTTAAGGAATCCGGTCTGTTGATCCCGAAACTGGGTGTCTATTCAATCTTCAAACCGATTAAGCAACACTGTTCAAATTTTTTTCCTGTAACGATGGTAGTATGATTCCTCTGTAGTTTTCACATTTGCCCGAATTGCCTTTCTTTGGGATCTTGAAAAGGTGTCCTTCATTCCAGTCTGTCAGAGGCACTGGTTCTTCCGCCAAGATCTTCCTCAGAAGAACAGGGAACATATTCACAGTTACCTCTGTCTGATTTCATTGCTTTAGATGGTATATTGTCGACTCTCACTACTTTCCAACGTTTGACTCCCCTGAAGGTCATCCTGATTTCTTCGATCGTTGTTGGAGTGACATCTATAGGAAGGTCTGTAGGTGCTGCTCCGCTATCCAGTGGGATCAGTCGAACTTGTCTGTTCAAAAGTTACTCTAACTGTTTGACACATCTGTTCCCTTGTTCTTGAGTCTCAATGATTGACTTGCTCTGTTTGTTTTGGACTGGTCGCTTCAGTTTGTTGTATTTCCCGCCTGTTTAGTCTGTAGTGACTTACGTTTATCACGAGAACACGACTGGTTTAATAAAAACAATTATTATTATAACCAACTGTACCAATGCTTGTTTTAATGTGCTTTTGTTTGACTGTGCTAATGACAGCTATTTTGTGCTTCCATTCTTATACTCGCACTTTGATTGTAACTTCACGCGAATTCGGTTACGTTCTGTAACCAAGCTTGTATCCTGGCACGATCTCGGTATCATCTCGATGCCACGAGATCGCCAGCAAATAAACCTCGACTTGGTCCATTAATTGCCTTCTGGTATTCGGCTTCTCGGGGATTTTATGGAGTCATTTGGAACGAGCTTCTTACGCCTTCTGATCTATTTGGCACGTGTTTCTTTGTAGCGGTGTTCATAGTTAATCGCAACTCGACGCCACGCTACAAGTCGTTGTACCAAATAGATTTCTCAGATTTCCTTCTCTTCCAGATTTTTCCGCCATCATTGCTTGATCTTCCGCATATTTCTGCTTGTCAGCTCTACTCCTCCACTTCACTGGATTATTTGCTTCCGTGTATTCGGCCTGTGCCTTTGGTTTTATTTGCTCTCCTTCGGTTGTTACTAATTGTTGTTCATTCTTTCTTGAATCCCGCACAGGGTATCGGTGGTACCTCTTGAGTGCCAACATCTGATATCGCATGCAATTTAGTGCTAGATTGGTCGATTCTCAGTCGTTCTCCACTGTACTTTCTTCTTCTTTTGGTAGATCTTGTAAGGCTTTAAACCTGTTGTTGAGAGTTATCCTGAATTCGTTGAATTTGTTAGTATCTCAAAGGAAGGCTATATTGAACCTTTGTAATGTTGTTTCCTGCGCACTCCACTATGATCGATTCCAGACTCCCAAGAAAATGATCTTCATCATCCTTATGAGTATAGTTGGTGGGTGCATAACATTGGAAAACATTCATTGTGATTTCGTGACTTCCGAAGAACCTCGGCTTTAATCATAGGGTGGCCTTATTCTCCTGAACGAGGATCCTTAAACTCAGAGAGCACAATTTAAATGGTTTAATTTGTTTATTCTGGATGGTGTTCTTTTAGCAGGATTGGATTGTTAATCAGATACCCAGCTCACCATGTTCACTCGAAATCGGAAAAGTCAGTTTTATTATTATAGTAGCGAATATAAATGTATTAATATCTAAGAAGACCATTATTCCACATAACTACACAGTGAACGAAACATGCTCATTTGAATTTGTTGATCACAAGAATTTACGAGTTGAAGTAATGTGTAACTGTAAGATGAACAAGGAACAAAGACTCCGAATATCACCAGTTGTTCTCAAGGCTTTTCGTAAGCGAAGTCAAGTGACAAGAACCTGATGTATTTTCGGGCATATTTTAAAATATAGGATTTAGGGAGTGTAACCACAAAAATTCCTGTATTTGGTCAGAACATAGTATTTAGGAAAAAAAGTTTATTCCATTAGGTCAAACTACGTTCATCTGTCTAAACTACGAATCGTTTTTGAGAGACTCGATAGAATTATATTGGAATACAAACTCCGTGCCAACTTACACGGTTCAAACTTAAGAATCTAAATTATTTCAGAAGTATGAAATATCTCGAACGGTATAGCCTGTGCGATACAGTTAACGGCTTCATTGGCACAAAATAACGTGCTAAACAACTAAAGGAATGGCGGGATCGTGGACGCATGCTGCTGAAGAGTCCCATACTGGAACGAAACGGTCGTCCAGTGCCCCCAGGTTTTCCATGGTGGTCTAGCTTCAATAGACTCACGAATTCAACTATTAACTTAATAAATAAAAGTTCGATGCCTAAGAATCGGTAAAAAACTTTCCAACAAGATGGTATCAAATATCTATCAGCAAGGATACCAGTAATATTTCCAAGGAGACAACCAAACGTTGACAGCTATACATTGAACCACGCCACAACCCTGAGTTTAGTAAAACATGATCTTAATTTTAGTGGTCCGGCAGTAGTAAAATTAGCTTATAAAATGTAAATCTTTAACCGATGTCAAGTAACAAAAGCCCAGACAAGGGAGAGAGAAGAACATAAGGTGTAGTTATAAGAAACATGTATAAAGCTTAGATTACAAGACAGGGAAATGGAATAAATAAATGACAAGACTGTCCAGGAAAATGCTTTCGAGAGGTTTCCAGCATGTTTTTTACATCACAGGAAGTGTTTTTATTTCAAATATGAAGCATTTCTATATACGTTTTAACCAACTCCATGAGGAAGAATGAATATGGTGACAAACGTTCCTGATTTATCTTACCAGAGCACGTTCAGATGTACCAACTCATTTTCAAAACCTTAGAGTATCTAACTGTATACTGAATAATAATTTTAATTTTAATATGTCCCCTTATTTTATATGAAACTGGCCATTTTAGAGGATATTCAAAAAAATGCAGTATGAACGCTCACCCCTGGCGTTTTCTCTGACAAACCGAATAGTGTAAACACGCCACAGATATTCAAGGTTTGATAGTGTTTCTGTTCATAGCACCTATATGCAGCCAAATCAAGAGTCAGGATTTATTAGGTTTGAAGACAATATTTGTAAGGTTATCGATGTGTTCAGAAGCCAGAACAAACATGGATACGAAATTATGTTAATTCATTACATTTCCTGGTTTCTCATCATCTGCTTACAACCAAATATATCTTGAAAGTTAGCACTGAGGTAAGATATAGTGTGAAACAATTAACATAGATGAATGAAAAAAGTTGTAACGACAAAGGCTATCAATAATAACTATATATATATATATATATATATATATATATATATATATATATATATATATATATATATGTCCAGGATGAGTGGTTTCAATGTACGTGAAATAAGAATTCGGCAAGGGAAGACTACATAACAAGTAAACAGTAGAAAATTAATGACAATGTAGCGGTAAATAAATTCCCAAAATAAATAGCTCTGTAAGTCTTCGACATTGGATGCTGACCACATTACTTTTAATGGACTCACCTAGCTGAATGCGCTCGGTCATGCATCCGCACCAGATCACGAGTGGGAACGCCGCGCTCAACAACCCCTGCAATCGCTAGCCAGATTAGATCAGACGATCCTCGATATATTGATGGCCTATCAAATATATTTTCGAACCTCCTCGCTTCTGTCTTTTGATTTCACTTGGTAGGTACGCTTCATATTAGGTGTTACTGGTTAAAGCGTTGTCAAACTCCTAATACTTGTGGCATCTTCAAAAAATGTAATTATCAGGCTAATAGTAGGTTCATAACTGTATCGTTTTGGATACTTAAGCCAGGTTTGAGTCTTTCATCACTGTTGCTTCAGCAATCCGAAGAGACGCAGTAATTCCTTGTCTGTTAACCATTTTGAAAACCATAGGAATGTCAGTGATGCCCTCGTTCTCAAGTAAATTTCAGGCTAAAGCACCGGTAAGAGCATTTGCTTCTCAGTCTCAAGTTCTTTGGAACATGCTAAGAAATGTGAACATGTATATATGTTGAGAAGTATTTAATCTAGAATGGCTAGTAATTCCAAAGGACGAGTAGCACAGCAAACCCAGTCACGATTTGATGCGCCTTGAGCTATGATGTGTTCAGTAAAATTAATGGGGTCAACATAAATCAATTAAACATCTAATTATCGCCTCTGAATACGAAGAGGTTATTGACCAACTTCCTTATATCTCAGCAAAATATGGCCGCTACACAAAAAGCTTTCAGTGAATACTTGTCATGCTTCTCTTTTGAAAAACAGACGAGTTAACCTCTCGTGCCGAATCCAATTCTCAAGTTTCTTTTCTTGTTTAACTGTGTCCATTTTGCTAACTTGGGTCACTAAGCCCTGCCCTTAACTACTACCGTGAAGTTTGATTTCAATGCATAATGGATGATTTGCAAACATCTGAGGAGGTAATTCTTTGTATCACCGTAACTTTTAATTATTAGACAACCTTTGTCTCAGATGAAGTAAAAAACATAGTTAAAGAGGTGCGAAAGGTTTCATAACTCAAATTTTCAACAAATCTTTAGAGTATTGAAAGCATCATTGGTTCTAGTTCCTATTCACACAGTAAGGTACAACAGTGGACTTCATCCGTGATTGAACAATGCCTCAGTCAGTTGACTAAACTTGGAAAGCCTTTTAAGTACATCGGTATGTCTGATGAAATTATGTTTCAACCTTTTTCAGTCACCTGTGTAATCATGCAGAAAAGTGGAGCTGGACTACATACTGCAAGTTCTTGCTATTGGGATAGTTCTACTGACGGTAAGCGCAGTGTTTTGCGACGTAAATTATTTTAAAATGGAATATCCTGACTTGTGCTTTAAGATCAAAACCCAGGTGCCTTTGTCTATCACCTTCCGGCATATTTTCGTGTTTGCCTAGTCTATATAATAGGTTAGCTAAGGAAAATTACACTCGCTAAAGGTCTATATGAGTTGACTAATCTATCCAGAAACCTATGTGCTCCTAAGATTCTGTTCTTGGCTTACGAACTCGCCTGCTATGTCCGGTGAGTCATTCTAACGTAGTCAGAAGAAACCGACGAGTTACAACTTCAATACCATTTCTTAATATTCTACGCATCCCAGTTATATCTCTTTCTTATCTGTGGCGGGAAATCGTAAAAAACCCTATCATCTCGAGCTCGTTATGAGTTATGCAAACCATCTCCCAAAACTTCACTGGTATCGGTCTTCTTGTATTTCTCCCAAGAGATCCAGATTTTCTCCCAAACAATGCTTATCCACTTTTTAGGTCGCATTCTATCGGTAGTGTGTAAATGATGTTAGAGATTTCGCTTCCTATTCTCGTGAGAGTTAGCTGTACCACCTTTACTGTTCTAAAACCTTTAGCTAAAACTGAACAGTGAGTCGCAGTTTTGACTTACTATAGTTTTTAAGTCATTGTAAGTTAAGAGAAACCCTAAGGATGGATCGCCAACTTTTTAGTTAATGCTGTTTGTGTCCGATTCACACTGAAACACTTGCATCGATAGGTGTTCACTGTCTCCCTGTTACGGTCGAGGGTGAGGAGTCTGCTCCCCCTCTCGAAATGCTTTCATATGACCACGTGTATACAGCCAATGACAGGTAGGTCTTACTCACTGCCTTCTCGCTGCACTATTGTTGTTTACGAAATTGAGAGGACGAAAAACTGGGTTAGTGGATATGGAAGATCCACCTAAAAGAGCTGGAAAACCCTGTTTTCAAACCAATGGTGTACGTGCGCTTCGGGATCCTGAAGGAACATGTGGCGTATGGACCAAATGTTGGCCACCATGGGACCGTATCTCCTCACGTCGCTCCACTGCCTTGTGGATTAGACCTTTACGTCGAAGGCTCAGGGTGTGGCACCAAGAAAACCACCTGCTCCTGTCTGGGCACCCGGGCAGCATCACAGCACATGCACAAGTCAAGTGACTTGTGTGGTGCATATGTATTCGGTGACCCTTTGTACCAATATTTGTGTTCAAATAAATAAACAGTTCACTCCCAGAACACTTTAACAATACGTAGAAGTTAGTCTAGACTATTCTTACATCTTCATCTGGTGCTACGTCGCTGTGTTTTGATGTTATCAGAAGGAAGTGGCATTAAAGATACGGTGATATACGGAAGTTCATCGACATAAAAGATCAACAAAATATGACCTAGTACAGAGCCCTGTGGTAATCCACTAATTACTTGTTTCAAACAGGTTAGTTAATGAGTACTTTCTCGGCAACCAATAAGAAAATCTTTGATGCACTTAAGCAGGTATCAGCTCTCTATGTTTGGTAAAAACCTGTCACACGGAATTTTGTCGAGTGCTTTGCTAAAGTCCACGTAGATTACACTTAATGATATTTACTATCTAAAAACTGTAACGGTGAATAGCCTGGAAATAAAACCCCATTCCTCCTAACCTTGAGAGATATGCATGCGTTTGTTACTTGTAATTTTGATAGATGTATGTAAAACCGAAAGGTAAATTAGAAATTTATCACACAATGTGAAAGTTTTTTGAATGACTCATTCGAGATGAAACATAATATTAATTAGTATATGATCAGCATGCATGTGTATCTCTTAAGCCAATACTGCCAATTTACGTCCTTTTTCAGAAAATGTTCATCATTGTGCCTTGTGGTGGACAAATCTCTCTTGGGTCAGCTCACTGTAATTGTATTTGATCTTAGGGTTGGAAAACAATAGCTGGATGTCGAAATGCGGGTCACAAGAGCAACGTTATTTAGACCAGTGAATCTTGTCTTGTTGCAATGGTTCTTTAACACTTAATTCTACCTATATTTTTAAAAGTCAGTCCTTCAGTAAATTTACGGACTACTCATTACCATTGGTGGCTACTCTCTACTTCATGTTATCCGGAGCCTTCGTTTTACAGAATTGATGTCAACTTTTAACTAAATCGCTGTACACTATATTATGAGAGGTTCTTTTAAAACATTTTATGATATTCCTAATGACATCAAGGTAAACCGTGACTGAAAATAATGTATGGGATAATCACTCTCAAATCCTTCCAAGTTCAGACACAATCACGAAGAAACTCATTGTCATAAAACGGGTAGATACTTTCCGAAAACAAGAACCCCTTGCCAAAACTCCATCTTAACTAACCACAATTCAGTTTATATCTACCAGCTAATGTTGCAGCCATTAAATAGGTTTTTGTCGGTGTTAGTCAAAGAAAGCACTTAGTAGAGTAACAATGCAAAAGGCTATTGTTGTTACTAGTCTGTTGGCAGATAATTCTTAAGATAATTAAAAGGGCTTGGGACTGGCCACCTTTCCTGTATCGACTGTATTTGTAATCTTCATCTGGGAGCCTCATAGAAAGCTTATTTGTAACATTAAGCTAACATTATCGTTAATGCTACAAGTTCTTACAAAATTATTCAGCCAGGGAGTTCTAGTGTATTTCTTATGTTGTAAGAGATAGAAAGACATTATTGGACTGTATATTCACGGACAAAATTCTTCAATTTAGTTCCGTCTAGAAGTTTAAACAAAGCTTAGAGATTAAATTTGCAAATTAAGTCAAAGTATGACGTGGATTTTTCAGCGCAAAGATCCACCGGTTTTATGACAATCTGCTACGTATCCAACATTAACATTCATGCTAATCATCACTATTTCGTATTTTTTCAGGGAGTTGTACAGTAAAATGGGAAAACAAGTCTATGTATTTCATTGTTACAGTGTTTGGCTTAGCGATATAATCCTTCTCGACCAACGAAATAGTTTTAAAACAATTAATCAGATTGTATGAAGACCGTCTGCGTTCTAAACAACTTGTGAGCATTCGTTTTTTGGGTTTGAACGTGGTATCTGGACTTTATCTTTGTTGATGCAGTTTACTTTACTTCCGTATCTTCACCGCTCAGCTGAGTTATTACGTTGAATAAACAGATCATGTATCATGATTATTTCTCTGTAATTGTTATATATCCATTTACATCACTACTTTATGTATTAATAGGGCACAAGTTATAACAAATTTAAAGACGTGTTAAGTAATAACAGCACTCCGTGACTTTCAGTTAGTATTGTAACAAAAGCATATCGCCTGATTTGTGATAGAGTATTTTTTGCAGATACTATGTTCCTTTGTATATCGCCTCTGCTAATTCCATAAGTGCTTTTATTTACTATCTCGAGTTACTAATATCCGCAAAGAAATCAGTGGATACCTCCCTGTTTACCTGGTAGTATGGAAAAATAGCGCAACGGCTACTGGTGCTTCAAAGAACTAAGGTCGTTGTTCGAAGCGCCCTCTGTTCACTGTGACGTTTGAAAGAATGATAAGTTGGTATCTTGTAACCACCTTTGAAAAGATGTCTTAGTCACTAAGGCATTAATCCTGCTACCAGCTGAGCTGAAATATTAGTTTCCACCATATTGCGCTAATTATGCGAAACAAACGTGATCGATGCAGTGACCAGATGTTCACTTCCCGCTTGGTTGCTACCAGGTGACTTACAGATCGGCTAGCGTCCCGTAATTTGATATTGGAGTTGTTCCTGACCAGTCGCACAAAGACTGAATATTGGAGGAAGGTTTGTCTGGTGTTTTGGCATTCAGAAAGTTCCTCGTAGCAAATCTATGGAGCATAGTGATGGCATTTAACCAGTAGGAATTAATCTAATCCCCCCATTAATCTTTGGCTTACCCATACATAATATTTTGGGGACAACTCTAGAGGAAGAATACAGTGGTGTCACAAATGTGTTGTCTAAATATAAACTTCGGCATTGATTTTTTTTGTCTGACTACGTGATACCACATAGGTCACAAATCAAAATTGGTCAATAAGTGCTCAGCGTCCGTATACGACTTGGCTTGAACTGTCACAACGCAAAGTACTAATGTAGTGAACAGAACACGGGTGGGAACAATCGAATGTATTTAACACAAAATTATAGGACTTGTTAACAAAATCTAACAATCATAAAGTAAATGTTTAACTTGCAAAATGTCCACCAATTGTCTCAAAATGACTTATACTTCATTGTTCTTGCATTTTCACACAAATTGCATTCTGTTTCGATTCTTTACTGTTCGATCCTCTTGTCTCTCTGCTGCCAGACCTATTCAAGACTAACATCACATACTACTTATGTCAATATAAGTAGCACACACCACACTACTACGACAGGAAAGTCGATGTTGGAAGCCTTACGTGGTTCGCCAAAAATAGTCGAGGATTTCATATGTTCGAGCATTAATTCTTTTATGACAGGCGCCAAGTCATGGAGACCTGGTTATTTTTTATACCACACTACAAAAGGTGGAATAAACTGCCATGACGTACGGCAACTCTGTCGTATATTATGGGAACTTAGTTTGTTCGATCTGAAAATGCTAGATATCTTTCTGTACTTAACACCGTCCTCCAAAGGAATTGTCGCATCCCATGACAACACTATGCAAGCACTAATGAGGTCTGATAACGTGTTTTCGGTAATAATGAAGACGATAAAATTATTGTTAACTTCTCAAAACACCCGTTTTGGTGACTTAGACAAATACACATACTGTGTCTTTAACATTGTTGTTTACCGTATAAATACCGTTACTGAACAAAGCGATGGATCTTGCAAAGTAGATTAACTAGACAGTACCAGTAATGAATGGACACACGTAGCAAGGGAACCAAAAATAATTTCATAGACTCTGGACAGAACTGCGACGACCATGACGCTTTTTCTGATGAAACGTAAATCCTAAGGAACTTTAGATCCTGTAACCAGCCAGTAACGAATAAACTAAATAGCCTTAGATTTATTATTCACAGTACTGAATACCAACCGTATTGTTTAAAATGATTAACGTTGCCACCATGCTGACAGTATTATACGTCAAATTGAATTTAGACCACAGTATCAAATATATAGCTTGAACTAGAGGGGAGGTGTTGTATGTTAAAATACTCTGTGCTAAAGTAATACTAAGGAACATGAATACGTAAAAATACATTACTATCTAGTAATTAAGTAGCAATACAAATACCATTCACAAGGTAATACTTTAATCATGAAACAAACTAAAGACTAATTGTGTATTTACGTTTGCATGATTACAGGCAATGTGTAGCGTTAGAAGATTGCTCTGTCGCTTTTCTGTGAAATCTGACTTTTAAGTTGTTAGATAATAGTACGAATTTACGGCAACAATCTAAACAAAAAGTGGTAAACTAGTGCTATTTCCAACTCAGATCTTGCTCAACCATCAGTTTTAAAGTATGTGATGAATGTACACAGTGGCCTAGTTATACACAAAATCAGGTTTGGATATAAAAGAAAAGCCTCAATGTGAGTTATTTATCTACCACAGACCATATATTTAATTCATGACAGTGAACTTCATTGGTTGACTGACCAACGGAGTCAGGAAGAAGACCATTGTTGTCTTTAGTACTAGACAGATTAGGATAGCTCTCCAACAACCAATCTATTGTATTTTTCTGTTTCCCCCGGTACGCCTGAAAACAAATGAAAATATCTATAAAATAAACAAGTCCGCGGAAAATACACAATAAGATTGATAATGGTGTTAATATTTGATCTTAAGTAACACGGATTCAGGAAGTACATTTTATGACATCATCATCTTAGCAGATGGAAGTACTAGGATACAAGTGAATTATTGAACGTAATTAAGCTTAGGTCAAGCACTTATTATTTTAAACATCCACATTCAATATACAACACGAGGTGGAAAACATAACTAAACAAAGACCAGGAAATTCACACGAAAATCGGTATTGCAACACTAAAAATAACTCAATGGCTCTAACAGTACGTTTAAAATGTAAAATACTTTAGGAAATAAACCTTGAATAAAGGATATAGCTACTTACGTGATGCAAGCAGTTCCTACCATAGTTATCACGAGATTCTAAAACTGGTGCTCCTCCTTTGCCGACAAGCAGTTTTAAAATATTAAGATTTCCTGCATACGCTGCTCGATGTGCAGGTGTAGCCCCGTCATTTCTTGTCTTGGCGAAAATATCAGCCCCAGCTTCTAATAATACATTACAAATATCTATATGATTATTTCTAGCAGCATAATGCTAGTAAATAAGATATCGCTTTTAACTTACCAGAGCTGTGTACCCATAACTGTCTGGTATATTAACATTTATATGTTTATCTAACAACTTCCGAACGCGATCAATATCACCACGTGTGGAAGCACCCCAAATCCCTCTCTCAAAATCCATTTCACTTAAATCTTGGTGGGTTGATTGGTGAAAAACTGTGTGACCGGTACATGAATGTGAGCTTTCAGTCATTCGCTTCTGAACTTTATCACTTTTGAGGTAAAGCTGAAAGTTAGTGAAAAAAATAACCAAAACGATTAAGTTCCCCAAGAAACAATAATACTTTGCACAGTCAAATCAATTATCGTTCATGAGGCATGAAACATCAATTCGTACAGTAAACAGACGCTATGAATGGTAAGCAGGCCCCCCATTCCCGACCGTAGCTGCTACCTTGATACGGTAATCGGGCTTGCCTGTCGTGATGACTCAACTGGGCTATATTGGGTGGAACACGTGTTTATTTACGTCCTACTAACCCGACAGGTCGGCCGGAGAACGGTTAAACTAAAAACCGTAACTTAAGATCCGAGGGCGAAAACATACTGCTGCATGTAGATGGGTGTGACAGCAGAAAAGTGTTTCCCTTGGACAGCCAGCATCTGCAGAGATGATGCCTTCTCACAATGGAAGGAAGAGGTTGGAAAATGTCACACCTTAACCCACGGATTTCCGTCTCCGACGGCAAAACCATAAGGCAGTACGCAATCGGCCTCAAGCACTTTTCCCCTGAACTCTGCGGTCACGCTCACAGGTCGCTAAGACCACCACTAACTCAGCTTCTTTTCCAGGCCCCTCAAGAAGAGATATCTTTCGACACTGGGCAACCGGGAAGTGTGGGTCGCCATCATACCTTTATTAACACCTGATATCATCTTGTTGATGCGTCATATAGTAATGAAATGAAACAAATTTAATGAATCATACTATGATGTTTGTATAAATGCTGTCATTGGTAAAATCACTAGAACGTTGTTGGAAAATCTTCTGGCCGTCGATATGTCATTTCGACGGCCATTGTCTCGAATTTCCTCTTGGAAGTATGGACAACCTTTGAACAAATCTTGATTGATCTTGAAAAATACTGGCCAATCAGGAAACAGCCAGTTTAGAGTAAAAATATACTATACAAAACCAAAGAAATAAAGTGGATACACGTCTTATACATAGTTCAAATACGTGTCAAGATTAGAAAGAGGTTCTAAAATCGTAATTCATGCAGTAGATGAAACCATCCATATGGCTACAGAATAGTCGACCTCTGGAGCCATGATAAAGTCTCAGGAACTCTTTCAGCCTGGACACTCATTCGATTGGAAAATGTGGAAACCTTGGACAGAGGAAATCCCAAAAATACCAGAGAATTTTTAGAAGCCTGGGACTCAGGTAAATCAGCAATCAACAAGTATATTGAAATCAGTCTAATTTACTAGCCAATGAGGAAAATTATGCACAAATATAGGAACAAAATTCAAACCAATGGGAGACAACCTAAACAATGACAAATTTAAGGTCAATAAGAACTAATCAACGTCGAGGTGTACAGAACAAGTTGTGAAACGCATATGGAGAAATTCGAACACTTCACTTCTATCTGGAGTTTGTGCTGATGATGTGTTCAGAAGAACGATGAAAGCTCCACGACAAAACCATCCAGCTCAGAGAACAAAACTCCATCAAAAACTCTTTCAGCCTCGACTACATAGCTTCAATATTGTTTGTGTGCATTCCGGTTGTTGAATACACAAAATGCCACCTGTGGATAACGATACGATGCACATAATCAAACCTATGTAGGAGTCTGTA